GATAAGAACTGAGATAAAAGATTGGAAAGTATATGGTTGGCAAAATTTTGAATAACAGAAAATTATGAGAGAATAGCTAATGAACTGATTGATGTAATTGATAGGTTTAAATAATGAGTCCAAAATGAGCACAGTGAAATTTAACAGGCATCAAAGTAAAATATTACATTGAGATTCAAAAATTTAGATGAATGTGTAAAGATTAGGAGATTCCTGGATGTGATAGTTAATTTTCTGTTTCAACGTGGCTTGCCTGCAGTTCCTGGTTATTCAATCAAATACTAATCTAGTTGTTGTTATGAAGGGATTCAGTGGATGTGTGAAAACATATGATCAAAAGGAGATTATTCCAGATAATCTGAGTTGGCCTGATTCAATCAGTTGTAAGCCTTTAATAATGGAATTGAAGTTTCCCTAGGGTAGAAAAAATTTTTACATTTGGAAAGTAACTTCAGTTTAACCCAGAGAGCTCCACCTTGCTCTTTCTGGCTGCCTGCTTTATAGCTTTTTGCCTTGCTCAGCCAGGCCCCATAATCATGTAAGCCAGTACATTGCAATAAACCCATATATTACTGGTTCCTCTTTTTTTCTGGCTGAACCCTGGCTGATACACACAATAATTTAGGGATATTAGGTGAGAAATGCTTCAATTTCCTCTGAGTTAGTTTTGCCATCAATTTGAGGTGGTGCCAAACCAACACGGTCTTAGAAACAATATGCACAAGTCTTCATGTTCAGTAGAGTAGGCAAAGATTCATATGGGGCAGTCCATTTCAGGATTGTTGTATCCCACTCCAACTGCCATAACACAGACTTACACGAAGACTACTATCAGGAAGTCATTTTTGGTTTAAGGTAAGTTAAGAACTTTTTTTTTATCTTTTATTTAATGAATATAAATTTCCAAAGTACAGCTTATGGATTATAATGGCTTCCCCCCATAACGTCCCTCCCACCTGCAACCCTCCCTTTTCCCACTCCCTCTCCCCTTCCATTCACATCAAGATTCATTTTCAATTCTCTTTATATACAGAAGATCAGTTTAGCATACATTAAGTAAAGATTTCAACAGTTTGCTCCCACACAGAAACATAAAGAGAAAAATACTGTTTGAGTACTAGTTATAGCATTAAATCTCAATGTACAGCACACTAAGGACAAAGATCCTACATGAGGAGTAAGTGCACAGTGACTCCTGTTGTTGACTTTACAAATTGACACTCTTGTTTATGGCATCAGTAATCACCCTAGGCTCTTGTCTTGAGCTGCCAAGGCTATGGAAGCCCCCTGAGTTCACCGACTCTGATCATATTTAGACAAGGCCATGGTCAAAGTGGAAGTTCTCTCCTCCCTTCAGAGAAAGGTACCTCCTTCTTTGATGACCCATTCTTTCCACTGGGATCTCACTCACAGAGATCTTTCATTTAGGTTTTTTTTTTTTTTTTTTGCCCCAGAGTGTCTTGGCTTTCCATGCCTGAAATACTCTCATGGGCATTTCAGCCGGATCCGCATGCCTTAAGGGCTGATTCTGAGGCCAGAGTGCTGTTTAGGACATCTGCCATTCTATGGGTCTGCTGTGTATCTCACTTCCCATGTTGGATCATTCTCTCCCTTTTTGAATCTATCAGCTAGTATTTGCAGACACTATTCTTGTTTATGTGATCCCTTTGGATCTTAGTCCTATCATTATGATCAATTGTGAACAGAAATTGATCACTGGGACTAGTGAGATGGCATTGGTACATGCCACCTTGATGGGATTGAATTGGAATCCCCTGGTATGTTTCTAACTCTGCTGTTTGAGGTAAGTCAGCTTGAGCATGTCCTGAATTGCACATCTCTTCCCTCTCTTATTCCCACTCTTATATTTAACAGTGATCACTTTTCAGTTAAGTTTCAGCACTTAAGAAGAATTGTGTATTGATTACAGTATTCAACCAAAAGTATTAAGTAGAACAAACAAAAAAAAATACTAAGAGGGATAACATATCAAGTTGCTCATCAACAGTCAGGGTGAGGGCTGATCAAGTCACCGTTTCTCATAGTGTTCATTTCACTTTAACAGGTTTCCTTTTTGGTGCTCAGTTAGTTGTCACCTATCAAGGAAAACAAGTGGTAATTGTCCCTTTGATTGGCTTATTTCACTCAGCTAATGTTTTCCAAATTCCTAACAGGGATCACTTTTCAATTAAAATTTAAACACCTAAGAATAATTGTGTGTTAATTACAGAGTTCAACCAATGGTACTAGAACCATTGGTACTAGAACTTTATAAGAAAGAATTGTATAAATAATATCATAAGCTGTCTTGTATGACATAGTGAACCTAACCATGGGTAATTAAGCAGGAACTGGTGTCATCTGCCAGGAATACTACATTAAATGATGTAAAAAGTTTCCTTTTTATTCTATGATTCTATAAGTTTATTTCTGATAACTATACCTCTATGGTATATCAGTAAAAGTCCTTTATCCTTTTAGTTCATGCCATTACATGTACTGCATATCTTCTGACAGCATTTCAAAATCTACCGCAGGCTATTCTGTGCTCCAGGATTCTAAGCCATATGGGCGACATCAGGGAACTTCCTTGCTCTCCAGTTTCTCTCTAGGCTTGACTGAAAGGCTCCAGCAGGAGGTATGAAAGGCAGGCAGAGAATGAGGTGGGAACCCTCTCTGGGTGTGTTTTGTTTTTGTTTTTGTTTTTGCCCAAGTTATTCTTCTGCTAGAGAGCTTTCTTTGCATACCTTCTGCTCATTCCAGGAGCCGCTACTACCCTGTACCCTTTAGGACCGAATTGCGGTGATGCCATTGCTTTCACTTGCCTAGGAGAAACTCTGCAGTTTCTCTAAATCCTGTCTGTACCTTTAGAAATAGTCCCTTCATTAATTCTTCTCAAATGACTCAATTTAAAGGTGTAATTTGTTTCTTCTCAAAACTTTAACTGATAATTCAAGCAGCTAACCACGTCAATATTTCTATGTTCTATGTAGAGCCAACTCTTCAAATGAGCTCCCCAGACTTTTAGGATAAATGTGTGTATGTGAGCAGGGGTTGGGGGTAGAAATATCCTTCAAAATAGTAAGATTTTAAAAATGTAAAAATCTTTGTCAAAAAAAGACTCTAGTAAAAATAATTGAGACTAAGATCAATAACAGTCATTCCATCCCTCAAACTAAGGTCCTCCTCCTCTGGAATCGCATAGTTCTCAATTTCTATATATTATTCTTATTTGTAGCAACCATTTTTTCTTTTCTTCTTTCAGAAGGATATATTTTCTAATTTACATAAATTTTCATAATGGATATTATGACTACTTAGAGAAAAGGCTTCTCAAATGTTCTTGGAACACATACAGAACAAATATGTATGTATTTCCTGGAGGTCTGGAGGACAGCAAGACATTTCTTTGAAGTCTTCAGTCTGATAATTAGAAATTTTGAAATTTACTACATATACTATAGCTGTTCTAAAATAAAGATGTTTTCTATTACTTGTTATTGTCATTTTCAATAAATTTGGTACTCAAGGAATTGCAATGTTTTGACCATATAATTCAATATTTCCCCAAAATTGTTTTGAAAAGCATGGAATAAAAATTTTCTTATATTTTCAGCTTACTATTATTAAGAGGCATGTGGATAAGAGTTCGAGGACTTTGGTACTAGATCATTCAAGTTCAAAACCCAGTAGCCCTATGGAGTATCAGTTTTATGATGCTAATCAAATTGCTTTATTTCTCTGGGCTTCCAGTTTCACATTTACAGAATGGAGAAAGTAGTCACCTATAACCTATTTTAAGTTGGATAAAACACTTAATGTAAAAAATGCTCAATTAGGTTATTGCATATTGTCATTAGGCATAACATAATCACTTCCATGTGAGGAAAAACAATCTCAGTTGAAGGGTGACATTGCCTATGCTTTTAAAAAGCAGATGCTTTCTTAAAAGTCTGTTTCTACATTATCTGCCAAATTAATCAAACTTTTCATTTCTTCTTTCCAGTCTATTTACTGATGTTCACCACAACATTGAATGCTTACATATAGTGGGATACTACTTAGAGCACCTGCGAACTTTGTTCCCACCCCTTGTATGCTTACAAAATGTCAGGAGTGCTTGTTTCCAAAACTTTTTGTGCCAGTTGTACTATTATTATAATTATGTAATTTAAACAATATGCAAATTGATTAACTATAAGCCATTGCGGCCAACTGGGGAGTGAACCAGTGGATAGAAGACCTCTCTCTCTCTGCCTCTCCTTCTCTCTCTCTCTGTGTAACTCTGCCTTGCAAATAAATAAATAAATAAAAAATTGGGGAGTGAACCAGTGCCTCTCCTTCTCTCTCTCTGCCTTGCAAATAAATAAATAAATCTAAGGCAAGTTACAGAGAGAGAGAGAGAGAAAGAGAGAGGTCTTCCATCTGATGGTTCACTCTCCAATTGGCCGCAACGGCCAGAGCTGCACAGATCCAAAGCCAGGAGCCAGGAGCTTCTTTTGGGTCTTCCACATGGGTGCATGGGCCCAAGGACTTGGGCCATTTTCCACTGCTTTCCCAGGCCATAGCAGAGAGCTGGATCGGAAGTGGGGAAGCTCGGTCTTGAACCGGCACCCATATGGGATGCCAGTGCTTCAGGCCAGGGCGTTAACCCGATGGGTCACAGCACTGGCCATAAATATATATTTTTTAAAAAAGGCACCACCTTACTTTTGATTCTTGTTAAAGTATTGGGGTTTCCATTAGAATAGCTGATATGCTATATCTACATAATTTTGGAGAGACTTTTTTCCCATGAGATATTATTATCAATCTTGCCTATTATCATCAATACAATTTGTGAATCTATAACAGGAGGCAAAAGTTGACAAAATTAACACTTTTATGTGTATAAATATTTATAACTATATTCTAAGACTTCTCAGCAAGCAGCTCTAAAATTTGATTTTAGATTACATGAAGTCATTTAAAATTTACATGTGGGAGAGTTTTCAACTTACATTGGTTTTTATTTTTCTTCAAGAGATCTTTATTTTGAATTCCTTTTATTCTTATTTTATGTTGATTCTTCTTTTTTTCTAAGATATATTCTCTTCTACTGGTTATTTTACTCAATTTTTTTCTTTCCAATTTATGTGATAAAAATGGTTTGATTTCATTCATTGGTACCTGAAAAAAAGATTTTGCTCATTTTATTTGTAACCTTTTAAAATAAAACAACAGGAAAATGAAAAATTCATATATTCATGACAAAAATACAAGCTTAATGCAATGGATCTAATTATTGCCTTTTTTCAAATCAAAATGACAGATGGTTTATTTCACTTTAGTGATCCATACGTTTTACAAAGAAAAATCTTTCAAAGTAATTATACTGTCATCTGAACTGTACAGCCAAGCATTAAAAGCAAATGTTATAAATAACATAGTAGGAGAATTTAACCAGTTTACTCTTGCACTGGTAAGTTGTCATGGTAATATCAGTTGTGTGAGCTAAAAAAAATGTTGATACTGCCTTACACATTTATGGAAAAGGAAAGTACAGAAAATCTTGTAAGTGGCTATAAGGACAATTTAAAAATAAACTTTCCCTAAAGTACTTCTCAGGAGTTATATAATTAACCTATTTTAATTAGGGCAATGAATTTCTGAGTAGTAGAAAAACATGCAGATTTTAAGAGAGAAAATTAAAAAGTGTTATAAAGGTAAATATTCATGATTTATACGTATTTTTCAGGGTAAATTATATTTGAAAGGTAATAAATTTTCCTTCATTTGCCAATTATTTGTCCAAGAAAAGTCAAGATTTTTATGAGTTTTTTGCCTATTCTTTTTCAGTATTACAAAACTGCCTCTATCCAAGACCAATTTATGGAATGCTTCAATCCTTTCTATGTAGTAGCAAAGACAATATAGCAGTGTCCCAGGGGCCAGAACACACACAGACATAGAGCCATGTAATGACTTTTTAAAAACAGCTTTAAGAAAATATAATTCACATAGCCAAAATTAACCCATTTAAAGTATACAATTCAATGTTGTTTTAGAATATTCACAGGTTTGTACAAGTATAACCACAGTCAATTTTAGAATGTTTTTATCATGTCAAGAAAAAATTATAAATCCTTTAGCTATTACCTTCCCTATGGACCCTTCCTTATTCCCAATTCCAAGCAACCAATGTTTTGTCTCTATAGATTTCCCTGTGCTGGACTTTCATATGAATTCATTTATACTGTGTGTGTATGTGTGTGTGTGTGTGTGTGAGAGAGAGAAAGAGAGAGAAAATTATAAATCATTTAGCTATTACCTTCCCTATGTCCCCTTCCTTATTCCCAATTCCAAGCAACCAATGTTTTGTCTCTATAGATTTCCCTGTGCTGGACTTTCATATGAACGCAATTATACTCTGTGTGTGTGTGAGAGAGAAAGAGAGAGAGAGAGACAGACAGACAGACAGATAGACAGGCTTCTTTGACTTAGCATTGTATTTTCAGGGTTGGCTTAAGTTGTAGTGCATATCACCATTTCATTTCTTCGTATGACTAAATAATATTTCTTGCATAGATAAACTACATTTTACTTATAATTCATTCACTGATAGACATTTGGGTTGTTTCAATTTTTGGCTATTATGAGTAATATTGCCATGAATATCTGTGTGTATGTCTCTGTGAGGACATCTAAGGACTTGTAGTGTGATTCTTCTTGTACAGTTGATAAATTCAGCAAATAAAAATATAAAATGCCAGTTAAATTTGAATTTGAGATAAGTGGTGAATTTTTTTAGTACATGTCACAAATACTGCATGCTAATATATAAAACCATAATATACAATGTCTAGAAATCAACAAGTGATTATGTCAGTCATTCAGGGACCCTGGTAGAAAGATGCTTCAACATGTTGATACCAAGGTCTCCCTTAGCATCAATATCTAGAAGATAAAAAGGGAAAGAGCATGGATGGTCATGTGTAGAAAGAGTGTTCTGCTTATCTTTAGTTTGCTTTATTTGGTTTGTTTTGTTTTTCTTCTTTAATAGGCCAGACTTGGAAGTGGCACATAGTACTTTCAACTATTTTACATTGGCTAAACCAGTCACTTGGTTACACTTTCTGAATTGCATAGTCAAGCATTAAAAGCTAAATGCTATAAATAAAATAGTAGGAGAATTTAACTGGTTTAACCAGGAAAACATAATTTACTTAGATATTTGGAATATAAAAATATGGACTTTGGTGAGTATCTTGCAATCTCTGGTCTAGGAGGATTATTATATATTATTGTCATTAAAAGATATTTAACTTTTCACTCAAAAATAACTAGCATTAAAGTTGAGTAGGCAGTGCAAGCTTCTGCAGACAGCAGTGTTTCCTGAATTTGGGTTTTTCTCTAAGTCAGCGGGAGTGGGCAGAACAACAGCCAGCTGTACCAAGTGTTAGAAAGCTTGGAAGACAGAGAAGGTCTCTATTGCTGTTAAGGTCATCAAAGGATTATATAGTTCTTTTTTTATTTTTTAAAATTTTATTTTATATACAAGTTTCATATATATAGACATAGGAACATAATGATACTTCCCATCGCATCCTCCCTCCTGCCCATGCTCCAACCCTTATTCGTTCTCCTTCTGCCATTCCCTCTGCTAATTTTTATGAAGATCTATTTTTAGTTCTCTTTCAAGTAAATAAATAAAAATAATTAAACATCTTGGAAAAGGAATTTAATTACAAGACTGCAGTCCACAGCCCAGCAATGTGTGTGTTTGGGGGGGGGGGGGAGAGTGAGAGAGAGAGAGACAGACAGAAAGGTTTATAATTGTGGGTTCACTCTCCAAATACTCACAATGACTGCGGCTGGGCTGGGGCTGGGGCTGGGGCTGAGACTAAAAGCCAGGAATGAAATCCAGATTTCCCACGTTAGTGTCAAGAACCCAGTTACTTGAGCCATCACCAGTGGTTCCCCAAAGTTCTGCATTTATAGGAAGCTGAGCTGCGGAACAAACCTAGGTATGATATGGGTGTCTTTTTTTTTTTATTTTTATTTTTTGACAGGCAGAGTGGACAGTGAGAGAGAGAGACAGAGAGAAAGGTCTTCCTTTGCCGCTGGTTCACCCTCCAATGGCTGCCGCGGCTGGCGCACCGCACTGATCCGATGGCAGGAGCCAGGTACTTATCCTGGTCTCCCATGGGGTGCAGGGCACAAGCACTTGGGCCATCCTCCACTGCACTCCCTGGCCACAGCAGAGAGCTGGCCTGAAAGAGGGGCAAACCGGGACAGAATCCGGCACCCCAACCGGGACTAGAACCCGGTGTGCCGGTGCCGCAAGGCGGAGGATTAGCCTAGTGAGCCGCGGCGCTGGCCGATATGGGTGTCTTAAATACTAGGATAACCACCTACTGCAATTTCATGCTTTTTGGCTAGACCAGATGAGTGGATGAAGTCTAATTACAGGGTTAGAGAAGAATAGAGGTGGGGGAGATCTTGGAGGAAATCAAAGTTTCCCACTAATCCATGCTTGCCATAATATCTTCAAATTGTTCAACTACAGTGTTTATGGAAAACAACATGTATTTGCCTAAGAGTAAGAGGGTGTCATGTTTGGTATGTAACAGGAAGTGAACATCATTTCTTGGAAATGATAGAAAGAAGTTGGTACTCAAAATATCCTACAAAGGTACCAGAATTATTCAGTGGGAAATGATAGCTTTTCAACAAAATATGCTGGGAAAATTGAATATCCACATATGAAAGAATGAAGTGAGACCTTACACTATAAGTTAACTCAAATGCAGCAGACATATCTGTAAGACCTAAACCTACGAAACTCTCAGACTTCATATTGGTAAATTTCTTGGATATGACCCTAAAAGCATGGGTAATATGTACTCCTATAACTCAACAACAACCAAAAATTTTGATTAAAAATGAGCAAGAGACTTGAACAGTCATTTCTCTAAACAGGATAGACAAATGACGATAAAGCACATGAAAATATGCTCAGCATCAGTAATATTTAGGGAAATGCACATCAAAACCACCATAGCATACCATCTCATATCCATCAGGATGCCTACTATAAAAAAAAAAAAAATTACAGAAAAAAGTATTGGAGAAATTGGAACTCTTCTGTACTGTTGGTGGGAGAGGGGTGCAGTAACTTTGGAAAACACATGGCAGTTCCATTTTAAAAACTGGAATTGCCATATGATCTAACAATTCCACTTTTGATTGTATACCCAAAATAATTGAAAGCAGGGCTTTGAAGAGATATTTGTACACTTGTGTTTATAGCAGCATTATTTACAATAGTGAAAAGGGAGAGGCAACCCAGTGTGTATTGATGGATCAATGAATAAACAAAATGTGATAACACATGATTCAGTCTTAAAAAGGAAGAAAACTGTGATACATGGATGGACTTTGAAGGCATTATGGTACATGAAATGAATCAATCACTAAAAGAAAAATATTGCAGGAAGATTCTACTTATGTGAGGTCCCTGGAGTAATTAAATTCATAGAGACTAAAAGTAGAATGTTATCTGTGAGGGGTTAGGAGATGGAAGAAATGGAGAGTTATTGTATAATAGGTATAGAGTTTCAGTTTTGCAAGATAAACTGTCTACAAACAAGTTACCATGGAACATTTCCACCTAAATGTTGTCATAAAATTAAGTATTTTTTTGCTAGTTCCCAATATCCTGGAATCTCTTAGAATACTTTTTGGTTTCCTTTTATGCCTAGGCTACACATAGGTGGGGTCCTTTCTCATATTTACCATATAGGTTTTATCTACCAGCTGCTGGACATTGGGAGGATACTCATGAATCTGAGTATTATCTTAATCTCAAGTGGTAAAGGGATTCAGAAGTGGGGCAGGGACTGCATAACACAAGATCCCAAGAGCCCAAAAGGGAAAAAGCAGGATAATCTGATGAAACTGATGCCCCTCCGTCTCTATCTGCCCAAGGACAAATTGTGAGATTTAGGTGAAGCTGATAGTAATCTCATTGCTAATTATAGGATGTGGTAATTACAGTAATAGGGGAGGCACTAAATTTGAGGGACTTAGAAAATAGAGAAAAGTTTTTAATTTATATAAACATTTTCTTCACAGTTTACTTCTTGAATCTGTATTGAGGTTTTATTCATTAATTCAATTAACATCTATTGAGAGCCTACTATGTACTAGGAATTGTTCTAATTGTTGGAGATAACAACAATGAACAATACTAATCAAAATCCTTGTTCTCCTGCAGTTTATATTTTATTGGAGGGAGAGTGACAGCAAGGAATATATTGTATTTTACATGGTGAGAATTCTGAGGGGAAAAATATAGCAGGGAAGGAAGATAGTCAAAGCTGTTACAGTAGGGTTTGTTTTTAGATGGAATGGTTACAGATTTAGAAGGTGTCGAAGGAAGGATCCTTTGAAAAGAAGACATTTGAACAAAGATCTGAAGGAGGGAAGGAGGGAAGGGAAGGGAGCCACATAGATATCCAGGTACAAGGGTGTTCCAAGCAGAGATTAGAAAAGTGGGAGCTGGTGCTGCGGCTCACTAGGCTAATCCTCCGCCTTGTGGCACCGGCACACCGGGTTCTAGTCCCAGTCGGGGCACCGGATTCTGTCCCAGTTGCCCCTCTTCCAGGCCAGCTCTCTGCTGTGGCCCCGGAGTGCAATAGAGGATAGCCCAAGTGCTTGGGCCCTGCACCCCATGGGAGACCAGGATAAGCACCTGGCTCCTGCCATCGGATCAGTGCGGTGCGCCGGCCACAGCGGCCATTGGAGGGTGAACCAATGGCAAAGGAAGACCTTTCTCTCTGTCTCTCTCTCTCTCTCACTGTCCACTCTGCCTATAAAAAAAAAAAAAAAAAAAAGTGGGTATATGCCTGTGGCTCCTGAGAACATCGCTGAGCCCAGAGTGCCTAGAATGGTGTACGAGAGACAATAGTAGCAGATGGTATCAGAGAAAAAGAACAAACCAACCAACCAACAAACCAGTGTGGCCAGACCACACATCCCATCCACTGAGCAAGACATTGCAATGACTTCAACTCTGTGTGAGATGGAAAAGTCACCAAAGGATTTCAAGTAAAGGAGTGACTGGAAATGACTTGCATTTACAGAATTACCTCCCCCTACTACTGATGTCAGAATACATCATGAGGTTAATAAATTTTTTTTAACAGAACATCACGTAAGTTTATTTCAGATGTAACAGCAATGTTAAAATTGACAAGTTTAATCTTTACTGCACCAAGTAAACTTAACCATTAAGTATTTTTTTAAGTTATCCCCTCCAAAAAACTGAGGGAGCTTTTCTTTTTCCACCACCACATATCAAAGTTTCCCAATAGTTCTCTTTTTGGAGGACTTTCAATTGATGAGTAACTGCCTTTGAGATACATTTCAGAACTTCTTTCCTCAAATAAAAACTAATCTGGACAAATTATATATTGCATAGATTTCTCTACAGATGCTTTTCTTTAGAACCAAAATGGAAATACCCTACAGTAAAATTTTAATTGTTTTGTTGTAGAGGTTAATAAAATTTAATAAGCATCTGTGACTCTATAAGCCAGATTGGTCTCTGCCTTTTATGTTTTAATATTTAGAGTCTCAGGCAGACTACCACTTAGGAGAAGATTGATGCCTGAGAATAGTCTTGTCTTCTCACAGTAGATTGAGTAAATATTTACTGAATTTTCAAAAAAATAAGAGCAGAAACAAGTTAATAATTACCTGTTTAAGAAATTCTGAGCATGTTGACTAAATACTAAGAGTCTATATAGCATGTTTTTTCTTGGAAAATACAATGATTTATTAAAAATATTTACCTGTGTGGTGATATTTCTCTGTTTTTGTCCCTTATTGTATTTTTCTGCTTCAATATCTGCAATATAAAAACATTTTTATAAAACTTAAAGTATTTTAAAGTTTCTTGTTAAAAAATTACTAGAAAACATTTAGAAGTTTAAGAATGACAGCTAGAAGCAGTTTATAATTTAAAATTACTAATAATGTGTTAAAAATAATTCCTTCACTGATAATTTTTAAAGGTACAATCTGGTACAAAAGATAATCTAAATATTTCAATCAGGCACTCTGAAATTGAGTTCATATGAAAGGGTTTCACAATAGTAGAGCTAATTTTAATAGTTAAAAATTTTCTGAGCTACAATTATCTATGTAAATAAATACCACTTATAAATTGAATACATTTAAACATAAAAGAGAATAATCTTTTATATTTTATAGGCTCATCCATATGTCACAGAGATACCAGAATTGATATAATTGAGTGATATAAGCATCTGAGAAATGTAGACTAGTATAATTAAATTGGGCTTTGAAATTTGAGAAAATAATTTTCAGTGAATTTTTAATGAATACATTTTGAATGAATCTTTTATACATTATATAGAATATATAATACAAACATAGTAAAATGTGTTTAATTTTTCCACAGTGCTTGAAATTTCTTAACTTACATATTTAGAAAAACAAGTCTTTGAAGACCTGATATAATAGGATAATACATTATGGTTTGTCAACTTAAGTATAGTACTAGAATTGTTAATTGTCAGTATAAACTGATTTATAACGCATTGTAAAAATTATTTTATATATTTTGCTAAATAAAGCATGCATGCATATGCTATATTCACATTTTATAGACTAAAGAATTTGAGTCAGGACAAATATATAGTAGTAAAAATTTTATATTTCCAAGAGGTTATAAGCTTATATGGTTAAGAGTAGTTCATGAATTCTGGGAGTCAGGGTAATGGCTCAAGAAATTAGGTTCTTGTCACTTATGTGGAAGAAGTATATTGCATTCCTGGCTTCAGTGTTGGCCCAGCCTTGGCTGGGCATAAGGGCATTTGGAAGGTGAATCAGCAGGTGGTGAGACCTGTCTGTTGTCTCTTTCTGTTTGTCTGTCTCTCAACACCGTTTTTTTTTTTTTTTTAAATCAAAACGTTAGGAAAGAGGCCACAAGTTCTTTGTTAATTCTCACATTGTATGTATTATTTGATACATTTTATTCTTTCCCTTGCTGATAAGCTTTAGTATTAGGCAGCAGCCTCACAATTCTATGTTCTGCTTACTTTGGAAGCCAGCCCTTACAGAAACTTATGCCAGGTTGTTTGATACCTAAGTTTTTTGTGAAGGTAGAGAAATAACCAGCAAATTCTAAATAAAAATGCAAGAAATGCATGGTGACAAATATATTAATATCCCTATGCTTAAAGTTTATACATAGTTGATATACTTGTATACATTAGATTGCTCCTCAAGTCCACAATATCTTCTAGAATATGTTATCGCAAATGAAACTATTTCTGAGTTTGTTAAACGATCAGCTGGGACTATGGATACTCATTATCAGAGATAGCACATGGATTTTTTAAAAATATTTATTTTATTTATTTGAAAGACAGAGTTACAGTGAGAGGTAGAGACAATGAGAGAGGTCTTCCATCAGCTGGTTCACTTCCCCAGATGGCCCCAATGGCCGGAGCTGCGCCAATCCAAAGCCAGGAGCCAGGAGCTTCTTCCAGGTCTCCCACGTGGGTGCAGGGGCCCAAGGACTTGGGCCATATCCTGCTATCCCAGGCCATAGCAGAGAGCTGCATCAGAAGAGGAGCAGGTGGGACTAGAACTGGCACCCATATGGGATGCCTGTGCTTCAGGCCAGGGTGTTAACCTGCTGCGCCACAGTGCCAGCCCCAAGCATGTGGATTTTTAAAAAAGACTTATTTGTTTATTTGAAAGTCAAGGTTAGAGAGAGGGAGGGAGGAAAGGAGGAAGAGAGGGAGAAGAGAGAAGGAAGGGGGAAGAGAAAGGAAGAGAGAGAGAGAGAGAGAGAGAGAGAGAGAGAGAGAAACTTCTCCATTTACTGGTTCATTCCCAGACGGCTGCAATGGCCAGGACTGAGCAAGGCCGAAGTCAAGAGTCAAGCGCTTCATCCAGGTCTCCCATTGGGTGGCAGGGGCCCAAATACTTGGACCATTTTCCTCTGCTTTTCCTAGGCCTTAGCAGACATTTGGATCAGAAGCAGAGCAGCTGGGACATGAACCTGTACCCAGATGGGATGCTGGCCCCAACCATGTGGACTTTAAGTTAAACAGGCCTAAGTCCTAGTTCTGATTTGGTACATTTTTCATTAACTTGCTATGATAACCAAATGAGATTATCTAATTATTTAGCACAGTTTTTTTTTAAAGATTTATTTATTTACTTGAAAGTCAGTTACACAGAGAAGGAGAGGCAGAGAGAAAGAGGTCTTCCATCCGCTGGTTCACTCTCCAACTGGCCACAAAGCTGGAGCTGTGCTGATCTAAAGCTAGGAGCGAGGAGCTTCTTCCAGGTCTTCCAGGTGAGTGCACGGGCCCAAGGACTTGGGCCATCTTCTACTGCTTTCCCAGGCCATAGAAGAGAGCTGGATTGGAAGTGGAGCAGCCGGAACTCAAACTGGTGCCCATATGGGGTGCTGGCACAGCAGGCGGCGGGTTTACTCACTACCTACATTGCCAGCCCCAGCACAGTACTTAAAACATATTCATGGTTTCATAAATGTTAGTTAGGTACTTTTAATTGTATAGTTTAATTGTTACATGAGATCTGTTAGTTTAGAGGACTTCAGATGCATTTTTTTTTTATTTTGTTTAAATTTATTAAACTTTTATTTAACAAATATAAATTTCCAAAGTACAGCTTTTGGATTACAGTGCCTTTTTCCCCCAATAACTTCCCTCCCACCTGCAACCCTCCCATCTCCCACTCCCTCTCCCATTCCATTCACATCAAGATACATTTTCAATTATCTTTATATACAGAAGACCAATTTAGTATATATTAAGTAAAGATTTCAACAGTTTGCACCCACAAGAAACACAAAGTGTAAAGTACTGTTTGAGTACTAGCTATAGCAATAATTTACATTGTACAATAAATTAAGGACAGAGATCCTACATAGGGAGTAAGTGCACAGTGACTCCTGTTGTTGACTTAACAATTGACACTCTTGTTTATGGCATCAGTAATCATCCTAGGCTCTTGTCATGAGCTGCCAAGGCTATAGAAGCCTTTTGAGTTTGCCAATTCTGATCTTATTTAGACAAGGTCATAGTCAAAGTGGAAGTTCTCTCCTCCTTTCAGAGAAAGGTACCTCCTTCTTTGATAGCCCGTTCTTTCCACTGGAATCTCACTGGCAGAGATCTTTCATTTAGGTTTTTTTTTGTTTTGTTTTGTTTTGTTTTATTTTATTTTTTTTGCCAGAGTGTCTTGGCTTTCCATGCCTGAGAAACTTTCATGGACTTTTTAGCCAGATCTGAATGCCTTAAGGGCTGATTCTGAGGCCAGAATGCTGTTTAGGACAACTTCAGATGCTTTCAAGACAGTATTACCCAGCTCATAAAGCGAATTTGTTAGATGAGATAGAGACTTCTGACCCAGGACAGGCAGGGCCTGCACTACAGTCCTTATAAGCAGGAAGCAGCTACAGAAGATATGAATACTCTACACCTTTGTCTTTATTTATTTATTTATTTTTTGACAGGCAGAGTGGACAGTGAGAAAGAGACAGAGAGAAAGGTCTTCCTTTGCTGTTGGTTCACCTTCCAATGGCCGCTGCGGCTGGCGCGCTGCGGCCGGCGCACCGCGCTGATCCGAGAATGAGTCTCTGAGGGGAGAATGATGTAGGCATGTATACAGGATAAAACTGATTACATCTGTGAACTGGGAGACCACATCTTCACTACACACCTGTGTGATCTTATGCATCTACCTGACCAAACCTGTACGGCCACCTGTCAATCAGACAAATTAACCACTCCCCTTTGAAAGTGGATTAAGGCCGGCACCAAGGCTCACTAGGCTAATCCTCCACCTAGCGGCGCCGGCACACCGGGTTCTAGTCGCGGTCGGGTCGCCGGATTCTGTCCTGGTTGCCCCTCTTTCAGGCCAGCTCTCTGCTGTGGCCCAGGAAGGCAGTGGAGGATGGCCCAAGTACTTGGGCCCTGCACCCCATGGGAGACCAGGAGAAGCACCTGGCTCCTGCCTTCGGATCAGCGCGGTGTGCCGGCTGCAGCACGCCAGCCGTGGTGGCCATTGGAGGGTGAACCAACGGCAAAGGAAGACCTTTCTCTCTGTTTCTCTCTCATTGTCCACTCTGCCCGTGCTCCAAAAAGACTATTATAGTTAGTGGATTAAACGCCTGGAACACGTTGGGCCTGGCCCTTTTTCCATTTGCCCTTCTTTTTCCTCCCTGCCCTTGATCCCCTTGTTGCCCCTACACCTTTGGGGCTCATGGCCTTTGGGCTACCCACTCCATACTTTCCGGCTTGCATGCTCCTCCACGTGGCTGGCTTTTGGCCTGATCTCTGCTCAGTATGAATCCAGATTTCCCTTTCTCTTTTAGAAAGATTCCTCACTCTCCTATGCATTTCTCTCACTAAATAAAAAGCTTAAAAATTTAAGAAAAAAAGAGACAGTATTACATATAAACTACTAGTTTAAAAGAACTATGGCTAACAAAACATCATTGCAGACCTCATATATGATTAGAATTTATTAATTTTTGCCTATAATGTGCCTTAAGTCTCAATTACAAATGTTTTATCAAAACAAATTACTTAGTCTAATTATATCTGTTTATTAGAAATTAGATAGTGTGACCAAAATTATAGTCACAGTAAATGTGTAATAATTTTTAAAAACCATTATCAAACTAGAAAAAGTAAACTGGAAAAAGCAGATGCCCATTATTACATTTCCCAAAAGTAAACAGAAAAAAATTAGAGTTAGTATTCACAGAACATCCCAACACAAGTAAGAAGTGCGAAGTGCCATGTGTATTTGAGCGAGAGAAGAAAATTACAGATATTAAGT